AAGGTAAAGGCTGCCTTTAGTCCACTTATTGATGAAGGAAATGCCTTTATCGTTACAAGGGTACACACCATAGAACTATAAACTCTTAATAGTTCACCTTTCAAAATAATGGTAACGAACGCCCCGGTAGATTTTAATAATTATTGAGTAATGATAAATTATATGAGCTTAAAATTTATTTATGAATAATAATTTAAATATTTAAATTAAAATTATTCATTATTCAATAAATTAAATCTGTAAATAATTGTATTATTATCATGCATAACAAACATATTTCATATTATTATAAATAATTAAATCAGTTGAATAGTAAAAAAAAAACCTCAAATATATATTATTTTAATAACATGAAATACAATTTTATATTAAACTGTATTTACTTATAAACTTTTACAATTATTCAACATTATGGATAAATAAAATTTAATTCATAATCTGGATTATATTATACAATTTAAAATAAAATTAAAACTAAACGAAACGAAACAATGTTAAATTAACGTCAATATTAAATTATTTGAATAGTAGTCTTTTTTTATATCTATACTACAAAACGCATGTATACACATTTTATTAACTATTTTAATAATACTTATTAAATTATTTAAAAACACAAAGATATGAATAAAATATGAATTTAAAATGTAAAATCTGTTTATTCGTATTTGTTATGAACAAATCATAAATTATTATAAATTTTGAGATGCTACTTTTCTATTACTAATATAATAATAATAAATTAATTGATATTTTTTAAAGAAAGGTAAGTTTTTAATTTTCTTTGATTAGAAATATTTTATTTGTAAAGACAATTTGTCAACAACTCGATAAACTTATAAAAAAACTCAGCAAGTTAACGAGCATATTTTTAGTTTTTAATCGAGATTCACTAGAATTGATTTTCAAGTATAATGATATCAAATTTTTAATGAAATAAAACAGTAATAAAATAGTAATACAGTACTAACTACTACCTGTACTTACCGAGGTAAATTTTACGAGAAGAGAGTATAACACCTGACATATTGTTAAAACTTCAAAATTATATTAATAAAATCATTCTTATTTTTTTATAATATCTACTCCTTATAAACCTACCAATACACTCTTAAGTTAGCTTTTTACCTACTATCATAATTAAAAACTAATATTTGTGTAACAACATAAATGTATATGCATAAAATAATATGCCTACTCTTTATTATTACTCTGACAAAATCATTTTTATATTCCAAGAATGAGTATCATACATTTTTAACAATACGAAATATGTTATATTATTTTATTATTTCAAATTAATACATTTTTTTAACGCATTGCCTTTAAGTATAAATTCCTGTTTAAATAAAAATTATGATACAAAAGACAACAAAAATCTATTCACTGAAGCATATAGAAAATAATGTTAAGCTAAAGTGACCTGTACTAGGGTTACTGAATGTATTTTCTTATATAGCTCTTATAGTCTTATGTCTAAAAGGTTTTGGTAGTAAAAAACCTCCTTTTATCTACATTTTCACCAAAATGAGAGCTCATAGAAATCTCTACCACCGTAAATCCACTTGTCCGCCGTTCCGGCATAATTGACGGTAACTTGGTAAAATAATTTACTTTATCTTATCGTGAATTCGTGAAACGTTTCAATATGGTTTAAATACATTCTATGCAAACGGTTTATACATTAATAATTAATATCATTAAACTATTTTGATATTTTAAATTGTTATCACTACAACAGTACAATGGTACCTGTTAATATTTCATAATTCATACCTACTCATTTATATTTATTTTTATACAGTACATTTATCATATAAATCTATAAAAATAAACATACTCTAGTTTATTTATAACTATATGTTAATATATAAGTAGCAATTTGATTTCTTCTTCGTTTTTATGTTAACTACGCGCTTATACTAAAAACTTTACAGATACAAATACACTTAAATATTTTATTTTTCATTTTTTAAAAACCTAATTTACAATCTTATATTATATAATTCTTGTTTACAAAATAATACTCTATTATAAAGGTTGACGGTCAGCGATCTAAATTAAAACAAATATAGTGGGAAAATATGTAAATAGAAATGATTTCAATCATTTATAAATTTTATGATATTTAAAAGGATTTAAGAAAAAAGCAGAAAAATAATATAACGTTAAGTGAATTGTAAAAAATTAAATAAGAATGTAAATTCCTTCAGTAAAATTGATAATATTAACGAATTATCACCACATTCAAAATTAGACCAATCAAAAAACCTAATCTTAATTTACTAATATAACCATGTATAATTTACTTATTAATTATTTAGGTTTGGAGCCGTTATATGGTTGTATTTGTATGGTATCTATATCATGTATATATTTTAAGAGTAAGTTAGATACTAGGATACCGAGTAACAGCTGTTTTAAAATTACAATGCCACTGAGATATTTTGAAATATAACTATATTTATAAAATAATTTAAATTATAATTTTAGTATATATATGAAGTATAATTTTGTATACAATTATACAAATATTTAACAAGCAATAAACAATTTTAATTAATTCTAAATATGACATTAGCATTGGCATTTTACTTGTAAATTTAACAATTATTAAAGTTACCGAATACTTTATATTATACTCATGTATAGTATAATTCTTGTATATTAAGCTTTTTGCTCTATTATAATGAAAAAACTTATAAATCCAATAGCGTAGTAAATTTTTTGCTCATAGTGGTAAGGGGGTAAATATTTATAACTTATAAGTAAAATAAAATATCATGGAAATATTTATTTCAATTTTTAACTTATTCAATGATTTTTCTTGATTTTTTTATCCACTCATTAATTATATGTATTATCTTCTACACTTAGTTCTCCATTTATTGGAATATTTTTATACATTGCAAATTAATTCAAACAGAATAAAATATAATAATTTTTTAAATTTCTAAATTGATTGAATAAAAAAATTTAAAAACGCTCTATAGTAGAGGATTTATTCCCTTGACCTCAATTTGTCGTGTTAAAAAAATATATATTATAACAAATATGTTATGGTATATATATATATATATATTGTAAAATAGAAACGATTGGTTATCTTTAACCAGGAAAAATATTTCTACCAGATGGGAACAATTTCTAGAGGAATTTCGCTAACCTAACCAAATTCATAGCAATATATCAAGATTATTATTAGTAATAATTATTACCAGACACAGTATAGAGAAACGAAAGCGTCGGACGAAAATATCAAGTTTTATTCTTATCATCTACAAGTTATACGAAGTATACCATGAGTAAAACCATATAGTAAAATCAAGTATCCTAAGTCATCAAGGTAAACATTGTACTTACCATAAAATTATACAACTTTTCCTCATCTCAATATATTTAAGTAATTTTTATACCTCAAATAATATATTTAAATACTAAAAAATAAAATAATCTGCGTTTATTTGCAAAAATCTTAGTGAGGATGGGAAAATAGTACTTCTATTGGCACACAGCCGATATTTCAATGATGACATCACTTATATTGAACATTATTTGGAATTAAATAAAATAGTCTGTACTATACACTGATAATTTATTCAAAAGCAATTTTTACTATTTACGATAACACTAACAAAACCATATCGGCGTTATACTCAATTAATTACTCATAAATACTACGTACGTTTAATTTTTTAATTTTTCAATATGTTGAAGCGATCTTTAAGATCCGCATAAATTCTTATCAGAGATCGAACCATCGAACCTGGTGACCAAAGCCCATTCTCTCTCCAAGCGGACACCACAAACATATATAATTCCACGTTTTTTATAGAAATATTTTATCTAATATAATTTAGTTATAAAAGTAATTAAATACATTGAAAATAAGTTAATAAAATCAATAAAATTTATATGAATGGATTTATTGAAAATCCTGGACATTTTTTAATAAATAAAATATGCAAGAAACATAAAAATTGAAGAAATTTAAACAATTGAGATGCTTTTATTTATTTGTGTTTTCTTATATATAAAAGACATTTACACCATCTCTGAATGATGATTAAGCGCAAGTGATATATTCGTTACTAATATAATTTTTAAGAATACACAAGCTAAACATTTGTGTTGTGTACATTTTAATGAATGCTTTCCTCCTTCCGTAGAAGAGATATAGCTCTGGATCCAACCCTAATTTTTATAGGTTTATGTATTTTGTTTTTTTTTTTATTTATTTACATATTAAATACTTCCTTACACAAACAAAAATATATAATATCTATAAATTTCTAACTATTTTAATATCACCGTTTAAACTTATAGTAATTTTAGAACAGATATTATTACAAATTATAAAAGACGTATTTCGAAGTTTGACTACAAATATGAACATTACTGTCATCAAGTTATTTTTTTGTTTTTACAACCTATACCTTGTTTGTATTTTAATAAATAAATTTAAGTTTTCGACCAGTGGGTGTAGAAAAAAAAAGAAACTTCATGAGAACAATCTTATCGCGCAAAGTCGAGAAACTGGCACGTCTTGCCAATATTTCCCTTAAAACTTTTCGCGTGTCCTTTTGTACTGTTGGAGTCGTTCCAAAGTAGACACACACACACACTATACAATGTTGGCATTTTATAATACGTCATATAACATAACTGAACCGTTGTGTTCCTTTTTTATTTTTCTATAATAAAATATAAAAAATGAGAAACGAATAATATGTCATGTTGGGAAAAATAAAACAGTTCCATCGTCATATTATACCGGCTACCACTGTATCAAAATCCCTACGAAAAATATCATTTTCACTCGTAAAATATAATTATAACTATAATTATGTACTTTGAAGCACGCGGTTTGATCCCTTTATAATTTTGATATTCCTAAGGTGAATGATAAATCACAATCATATATTGACTAGAGTATACGATAAACATTCATACTGAATAACAAATTGCTTTAATTTTATGTACAATTTTTTTCAACTCACGTGGATTTTCTAATCATTGTTTTTGCTATAGACGCACCAGCGCACACGCACAAATTTAATTCCCGGTTATTTAAACGAACAGCGAACCTTCGGGGCACGAACGGAACATTTACAGGCGCGGGTCGCGAAAAAGGACATAAAAATTTTTTAAATATTTAATGTTTTCGATGAAAAAAAAATTATGAAACACGAAATGAAATACAAATATCGCAAACGAAACGCACCGCAACTGTCGGTCAACGTAGCGCGTGACACACGGAACTGTCGCGGTGGCGGCCAAATACCAAACAACGTGGTCAGAGGGTATGAAGGGCGCGTGCGCGGCCTCATCATCCCTCTGTAAACGTTTCGTACTTATATACCCGTGCCGCCATCTGTGCCGGGCATCAAGTTCAAAACTTACACTTTGGCGATAGGACTTACTATGTTAGCTTAAATCTTTAATTAATGTATTATAAGCTTATAGTTATGAAATTAAATATGGTTCGAATGAGAAATGGCATCTATAAAGAAAAAAATGTCTATGGTTTTATTCACAAGATGTGTTCAGTAATATCTTCTAAATGAGACACGATTTCACGAAAGATCACAAAAATAGTTACCCGTGTATTTAATTATTATTTATTTACTCACTATTCACTTTGATCGATAGCGCCGGAGCCATCTGTTCAATCTTCAAGAAAAAGTTTGACGAAAAATAAAGCAATTGATATCTTAACTAAAAACATTTTAACCCATGTAAAAAAAAAAATGTTAATTGGTTTGTTTTACACACCCAATATTCAACTTTCGGTGACATCCATGCCAACCATTAGGTTTAGTATCCACCACACCGATTAAAGTATATAATTAACCATATTATGTATGTATAATTTATAATATGTTGTATACGTGAAAAATATAGACGATTGAATGCAATAGTTAGTGATATAAGTGAGTGGGTCCAAAAATAAAATTCTGTTTCTACACCTTTTCATTTAAATTTATGCTCCACTGACACTAGTTATATTTTCCCTTATCTTTATAGAAAAATTTCACTCAATTATTGTACAATTTAAAAACCTCAATCACTATCATATTATATCTCTGCACTTAATTTTCTTAGATGTTTTATCTATATTAAGCTCATAAACATATTTAAATATTGACATTTTTTTTAACATTTGTTATTTTTTAATTCTTTAAGTTTTTTTTAAATCTTAATAAAAAGTTTAATCACTAAAAATTTCGAAAATTTAAAACAAAATTCTTAAACTTAAAGAAAAGAAAAAAGAAATTATATTAAAGAAATTTAAAAAATATCAAAAATACATTACAATTTATTTTTATTGAAGTTCGAAATTTAGGTTTTCATAAAATTCGTCAATTTACAACACGAAAATGTGTAATATAATATAGTAATTAAAAATGTTTATAGAACGACCATAATTGCTTAATATATTTACATATTGGTATTCTAGATCTCTTTCCATTTTTTTTCTTAATAATGTTAAAAAAATTTAATTTAGTATGCATTTATGAATTTTTTATAATTCTTCAATAATTTTTGTATTTTTTATTAAGTTAATTAATTTTTTCACTTCTTAAAATTAATACTTGTCTATGGGACCTCTAGACCCCTTTTCATTAAGTTGAGCGATAAATGAACTAATTTAGTATATATTTTACAATGGTGTGTATTATTATTATTATTTAAAGACATTTTATTTAATACTTCATAAAAAAATATTTGAATCTTACACTTCAACATATATTCTGATATAGTAAATTGAAACATGTTAATATTTTTCTAAATAATTTGGAAGAACAAAAAAAATTCATTACATCCATTACAATTTACACTAACCTACTCAATGGACAATGATTACAAAATAATTCTCAACATCTACTGTACATCAGAGCGGTAAGTGGTTACCTACTTGCCCAATTTTTTTCTATCGTATTTAAGTTTAGTTAATTAAAGTTACTAATTATTTAATTTCTTATTTAAACTATAGTCTATAATATTTTATTAAATTATATATAAATACCAAATACCTAAATTTCTAATACTCTCTCAGTAATCAGAGTTAGGCGTTATTCGAAAGATTTTTTTACAATTATTCGGATAAAAATGTATTTAAATAATTTTAAATTATGATTATTTGAATAAAAAATTATTCGACTAAATTTCAAACAGAAATTTGAATAATTTTCGTTTATTTTATCTTGGTAAACATAAGATCGGTAATTAAAAACAAGCACATTTATAAAAAATAGTTGGCATTGTATTTTAAGTTACACGATTGTGAATTATTTTATTATCAAAAAAGTATAAAAAATATTTTAAATAAACAAATATCTATCAATAGAAGAAAGTTACTTCCCAATTATGCATGTGAATTAATATAATTGTATTAATCAACAGTTGACCGTAATGTAGATTTTATATTTAATATACGAGTATCGCGTAACATACTTTTAATAGTATTGTTACAGTACGATAATTACATACGACAATAGCTACATCTAAAAAAATGATTTGATTATAAACAATGTTTAATCAAATAAAATAACCAAAAATTATTCGTATAACTGTTTTTGAAATTTAGTCTAATAATTTTTTATTTAAATAATCATAGTTGAAAATTATTCGAATAATTGTAAAAAAATCATTCGAATAGTTTTTTTATTCGAATACATATTTATTTAAATAATTATCTATTTTTCCCAACATCTATTAGTACCTATTAGGTTCTACGCATCACATTTTAGCTATAAAACAATTATGTTACTATAAATCTCTTATATTGTCACTGACTTAACTATATGATGTACAATTTATTAATAAAAATATTGATTTGAGATTATAATTTTTGTTGCACTTATTTAATATAATTTAAAATAATAAAATACAAACTTAAAACTTAATAGTGTTAAAAGTATATTGCAACTACTAGTTTCTACTTAACCATTTATTGTTTTAATAATTATTATTTATATTTTTTACTTAAATTTTCATAATGTTTATATATTTTTGTATTATTTTTAAATTATATATTTTGTTCATAATTCAAATTATTTAGATTGTTATTTGTTTATTCGTTTCTTTTTAGGTACCTCCCTTTTCAATTCAATAATAATAAATAATTTATAATAGACAATAGTAGAAAAAAAGTACAATAATTATATTATTTTAGTTTTGTTAACATTTAGTATTTAATAGTATCTATATGACTTCAACATTACCTCATTAATTTTAGAATATACTAAAATATTAATATTCTATAATCAATGCTATTACTGTTATTTACTTACGATTTGTTCTGGATAGAATAAATTTATCAAAACAACTTCGTATTTTCTTCAGTCCCAAATTGTTTTTTTTCTTTCCGTCTTTGAGAACCGCTTTTCGATGACATAATTTTATTTAAAAAAAAAAAAAAAACTTAATGTAACAATACTAATAATATCAGCTCAGTAGACATGGATCATTGTAGAACTCGTGAATCGTGATTAATATTTTAATTTAGTAAAATAATAAACAGTCAACTCATAATAGGTAGTTCCATGTTTATAATTATAATTTAACACAAATAACTGCATATATCAGTTTGTTGCATTTATTTTCTATTTCGCAAAATGTAAAAATAAATCTTTAACCTGTAAAAATGTAAAATGATGGTTGCTAATCGTACCACGAAATTATATTATCACATATTAATCAACGGTATATAATTTATTACTAGAACCATGTTATATATTTCCTTGGATCTAAATATCTAATAACTATCTATTTGATATTTCTAAGATAGTTGCAATATTTATTTATTGTTTATACTTTGGTAATCAATAACTTAACATCTAGTTTTTTCCATACAAATTTAAAATATTTTACTTTATACTATTTTTTATATACCGAGACATAATTATTTTTTTATTACATATTTCAAAAAAATTACATTTGTATTCTAACATCAGTTAAAATACGGACCTATATATATGATATAGGACTTAAATTTTAGAGCCCCAATTACAGGTCGAGGGGTACTCAAGTACGCCTGGCACCCCTGTACGCACGCCTATGGTATAAACCACATCTTAGTTTACAAATTTAATAAACAGCTAACAGCCAACAATTAAAAAATTAGTAATTGTCTTCATATTTTAGTTATGTAATATCCACTACATTTTATAATTTATAATTTACATGATATAATATTATAATTTTAAATAATTAATTGTTGTGGCTTTTACCTTGTCCTCATTTAAAGATGCAAAAACATGGAAATAAAATAAGCATTGCGCATAAAACTAAATGGCTATAATAAAAATAAATCTGTGCCTCTATTATTATTACAATATATTAACATCATTTTTATAACATATATTGATAATAAGTAATAACATATTAATAATTAATATTTAAAATATATTCTATTGTAAAATAATAACATTAATTATGTTCTTATATTAGCTATATTTTACTTTTTTTTATAGTTAATCCACTTCAAAAATATGTATTATACAACACTGTAATATAATTTAATATTTTTAAAATATATATATAATACAGAGTAATAACTAAAACTTATCCGTTATCTGCCAGTCGTCTCTCAATTTTCCGTAATCAAAACTTCACAGACAAACCACACATTCTACCTATAACAGTACGTCAATACCTAACAAGGTTACATGGATTCGGTAGACTATTCCTAGCCCCATCACCAAGAAAATCGCTGAAGATGACGCGGTTGAAGTAGTATAAATTGTAGTAAGTAGAGCCGGTAGACGTACCTAGCGAGCGATTATATTACACTTTATAAAGGGGATTCTACTCTTACGTCTTACACCCAATTACCATTGATAGCGGAAAAGATCCGGATTACTATTAGAATACAATATGTAGGTACTAAAATTATTAAATCTAGTTAAAAAACTATTAGAATTGAAAAGTAAAATTATTTAAACCTAATGTCCTAACTCCTAATAGTAAAACTATTCAAATCTTATAAGTAGGTAAGAGTAAAACTATAACAGTAAACTACTGAAGATTCTGAATGTCCGAAATAACTATTTAAATTTATAAATTTCAATAGTTATTTCTATGATATATATATATATATATATATATTTATTTTTTAAACAATTTTACACAATATAATGTTGATTAGTTTCAGCTATTTATACCATGAACCAAATCACATATAAAGTCCCCCCCCCAGTATTTTTGTTGTACGTTTCCTAATTATTTTGAGAAAAATTACTGAGAATATTTTACTTTTGATCTCTTCAAATTATCACTAAATCCAATATTGTACCAGAAAACATATTCAAATTTAAAGATTGAAGTATTTTCACTGTTTTAAAAGATTAAATTTAAACCAAAAACATTTTTGTAAAACCAATACATTTATCGTTCTACTCACAATTTAAAATTAGGTACTTATTTTACAGTTTAAAAACTTAAATAGTAAAATATAATTTTTTTTCTTTTTAATTCAATAATAATTATAACTATTAATAATAACACATTTTTGATATAATATTATAGTGTATTTTATGCTAATTTCTTTTTTATTTTAATTTTATAAAACATACGTGAATGATGAATACTGCATTATCAAAAATAGATACTTATAATGAACACGATATCTACTATTTTTAATCTCAGATATTAAAGAACATATACTATATTATGTTATAATATTATATTATTGATATATTTTATTATTTTCAGTTTAAATTTGCCGGGTTTTGCAGAGTGACCATAGTGTACAAAAAATAATGTTATTATTGGAATACCTACATATTTTCTGATTTTGTGTTAACGAGAATTATAGAAGTGTAAAAGTGGCAACATTTCATAACAGAATTGATGAAAATCTAATTTTATTTCGTCTAGGTATTTATTCAGTGGTAAAATCCACTAACTACCAAGTATTAATGCATTAAATTCTCATAATAATGTTATCATACAATACTAATCTTATGACCATGCTCATATTTTTCATTAATAAATTAATAATTATAGCAAAACTCTTAACTCTTTAGTTAAAAAATTTATCATTTATCACTCACTGATGTTATGTATTTATGTATAAATATTTTATAATATAATATTATTGTTACCTTTAAACATCGTATACTTCTTAATAGTTAATTCTTATTTTTCAACTATTTCTATTCAGTAACTATGATAGTATGATCATTTATTTTTTCTAAATGTTTATAATTATTTCACAGATTTTATATGAAATTATTTATGTGAACATAATTTTTTCAATTGATTATAATGAATCGTAATATGGGGTCAAAATTCTACAATAATACCGAAGAAAACGATGGAGAAACTGACAATTATGTTACATGTCCCTTATTACAACTAAAATATTCTAGGCCAAGAAAACCAATTACTAGGTATGTTACTAGTACGTATTTATTGAATATTTAAATATATTATTATTCCAGTCTTATATATCAAATAATCTTATATTAGTTTTAGCTGATTTATTGAATTTTCAAAAATATATTTTTCCTCAGTACATTAACATGTTGCAGATTATACAATTATTTATTAATATGTAAATTATAAATAGGTACCTATACATTATCTTTAAACACATACTTTATGTAGTGATTCATTTTTTATAGATTGTTATTATAATTAATTTAAAAATATTTGTGTTATATACCTAATTAATTGACTAAATTGTGTAATAAGTAAAATAACATTAATAGTTTGTATCAAGTAAAAGTAATCACAAATGATGAGGCTTCAGTCTTTAGCAATGGCAATGAATGTGGCTAACATACACCAAATATATGCTCCTAGGAGCATTATTTTACTATTCTAACTACCATCTAGCTTGCATTTTACTAAGATTAATATAGTAAAGCAATTTTGGCCTGATTGTCAGAAGCAAAAGCTACTTATAAATACCAATTTCATAGATGGGTATAGTTAACTGAACTAGACAAAAATTGGTCACTAGCTGTGGTTACTTATTTGAAACAAAGTATAAAGTTTAATTTTAATATTTTAGTTTTGGTAAACAAATTATGTTTAAAAATATAATATAATGATCATTTTCAAAAATACCAATTAGAAAAAATTAATTGAATTTTAAACTAAGTATAAATATCATGTAAATTACTATATTTTAGATTCCTTTATTGTCAAGTGCTAACCCTCCTTTTTAAAATATGTGTTGACAGTCAACATACTAGCCTATTGAATATTTATAATTATTATCAAAACTTATTTCTAAGTACTTAATTTAGAATAATTATGTACAATTTAAGTTTTATAATACAATTTAATTTCTATTAATTTGTAAACTGGTCACTTAGATCATAAGTAATTATTAATTGTAATAAAATTATTTATTTTAGTCGTTTGGGGCAAAAAACCAGATCTTTAAAACATAGTAATGATAACCAAGCATTATTTCAAAATAAAACAGCAGATGCAGATTTGCGAAGTTCATTTCAAGTACAGACACCTAAAAAATTAGTTAATAGTTTTGAAAAACTTGATTTAGTTCAAGATACTCCGTTTGTTCGTCCAGCAACTAAAGCTCAAATTCATAGTAGTATGGAAACTCCAAGTGATACATTTACAAATTTAAACAGGAATACTGTTCGTAAAATAAATTTCAAACCGACTCTTCCATTAAGTACCAAACGGTCATTATATAATAACAAAGAAAATTTACCAGAACGATTAAAAGAAAAATTGAAAAGTCCAGAATCTATTATACAGCCTCAAAGTAATATTAATACAGATTCATGTTCAATTACCGTTAAAGAAAACGATAAAGAAATTACAAATAAATTACCAGTAGCAATAAATGATACATGTTATACTTCACTTGAAACAACAAAATCTAATTGTGATACTAGTTTGTATCATAGTGTCAGAGAAACAACTTCTATACCAAAATCATCATATTTTTCTTTTGATATAAACAGTTCTAATTCTTTAATCGATTCTTCCTTATTAACAAAACAGTTAGAATGCCAACCTTTAGATGATCATCCTAAACGTTCCATACCAGAAGTAACTCCTATTGTTAAATGTAATAATTTAGTTGTCTGTGCTCAGTCTTCTACTTGTCCTACTGCTGATGTATTTGTTCAAGAGGAAGATCTTAAACTATCAACAAATTTGTCAACTAGTTTATGTATTAAATGTGCCAATGAAAACTTTATATCTGTTAAAGGAATCAAATATAGTATACTTAATACATTGGGACATGGTGGATCTAGTATTGTTTATGAGGTATCTTATCAATATCTTTTTTGTTTATATTTTATTAAATTACTTGTCTCATTTGATTAGGTATTACATCCAGAAACTAATCAAGTAATGGCAATAAAAAAAGTAGACTTATCTGAAGTTGAAAATGTTATAGCTAAAGGATACTTAAATGAAGTCAGTTTGTTACAAAACTTGCAAGATTGTGAAAATGTTATACATTTATTTGACAGGTAGATAATGATTTGTGAATATATTTATTTTTATCTCTAATAATTAGTATCTGTAATTTATCATCTAAATTAAATTTAAATAACCACATACAAATTAATTCTTTCAGTCAATATTCCATCAAAGAAAAGATTCTTTACATGGTAATGGAAAAAGGTGATACAGATCTTTCAAAACTTATACGTAGTACTAAACATATGTCAGTTCACATGATTATGTACTATTGGACAGAAATGTTAACCACTGTTAGTGAGGTACACGCTAAAGGTAAATAATTATAATCATAAATAAATAATAATAACTTAAATTTTGTAGTACTAATAAGACAATAATACATTTTCTTAGATACAATAAAAATATATGTTTATGTAATTAGTGGGATATTTTATAATCGTAAACGTAGTACATTTTTAATATTAAATTCAGAAATATTATACAAATAATAAAAAAATAATATTTATTATGTTTTATACATAGATATTTTATTTTATTATTTTTAATAATTAATTATTAATTAATACTAAGACATGAAAAAATGCATATAATCCAAGTCTGTCATTTAATCCATTTTTAATTGTTTACCATTTAATAATAATTTGAACAACCTTTAAAAAAGAAAAAAGAAATGTATTAAAGTTTTAAATTTAATAATCATATGAAGAATGAATATACCTATAAAAAATGTATAGGAAATCAATTAATTAACATTCATCATAAAATCAAAAAAAAAAAAATTTCTTACAATTATGCAATAAGAATTTTAAGTTTGATTAATTTTTTTTTTGTTTTTCAATAGGTGTAATTCATTCAGATCTTAAACCTGCAAATTTCCTTTTAGTCAGTGGTCGTTTAAAATTAATAGATTTTGGTATTGCATCAAAAATACAAGGTGACATGACTAGTGTATTGAAAGATGTAACTACTGGAACATGGAACTATATGAGTCCAGAATGTATTAGAAGTGGAGGCTCTAATTTTGAAGGACATAAAGTGAGACGTCATCCTATACATATAGATAACACCAAAGGAAAATATATTTTTTAAAAAAAATTGATTTTTTTACAGATAAACCAAAAGTCAGATGTATGGTCATTAGGATGTATATTGTATAGCTTAATTTATGGTAAGACTCCATATTCACATTTGACAAACACCTGGCAAAAGTTGCAATCCATAGCTGAATCTAAAGAAAATATTAATTTTCCTAGTCATAGTAGAGTATTTACAAAAGGTATACCGTCAGTACTTATGCAAACAATGAAGTTATGTTTGATAAAAGATGTGAAAGCCAGACCAAATGTCATTGATTTGTTAAACCTTATTGAAGATACAGTATTTAAACCTCTGACAGTATGATATTGCATACTTTTTTTATTGTTTCAATTTTTCAATTTTGTATTTAATTAAAATTTTCAAATATGTAATTACCATTTGTTTTTGTTTTTTATTCTAGATATTGATTTAAAAAACAGACCAATATTAATAAATATAATATGATATTTAATTAAGATTATTATATGCAAATGTTTTTAATTTTTATTATTTATACGCAAACTTCATTGAAGTAAGTTAAGACAAATCATAATACTAAATTTAGTTAAATTTTGGTCTTGTTAGTAATTACTGCCTATACAGTCATAAGAATAAAGAATAGATCTAATTTTTACAAAATAAATATTTCTACATATTGGTAAAAATTGAGTTACGATATTCTAATAAAAATGATTATCTGATAATTTTAGACAGAAACTTGTTCACTTCACAATTATTATTTTAATTTTATACAAAACAAATTTTCCAAATAATTATAAGGTGAGTATGTATACATATATAAACCACAAATATATTTATGTATTTATACGATGCATATGAAGTATTGAAATTTAAATTTACTACAATAGACAATAATGAAAATTATTATAATTATTATTATAACAAGCTATTTTCTTTTCAAGTAACCTACATATCTTATGTAAATACAAATTAATGTATCTCGTTCAAGACTAACTTTGAAGTCCCATGTAAAACTATTATTTCAAGACTTATCAAATACACTACACTAAACCTTGAATAAAAACAATACCGTACTGTCACAACATGCATACTCTAGGTACTGCAGTGTGTATCAATCAAGTCATTGTAGAGCACGTTTAGGAATAAATAAAAACAACGCATTTATAATTGCTGTACAGCTAATAAATATATTTTATAAAAACAAACATAACATTACAATAAATAATCAGTCTCGACTTAACAACTATATCGTCTATATCTAATAGGTCAGCAATCTTATACACAACTGAGAATCAAATTCTAGGATATACTTTACAGTAGTATTTACAGATTCACGAGATGGAATGTAGTAAAATAATTAATCGACTTTCGACGGTAGGTCCTCCTCTAGCACCCGGGAAACCTTGGGCACCAGGAGCCGCGCCGCCGGGTTGTCCACCGCCGTGTATCTCACTCGAGAGCAGAACAACTCTGAGATCTCCTTCAGTTTGTACTGTACTCTTCTTGTCCGCCAACTGATTGTTGTCCAACCACTGAACTTGACCGCGTCGCATTCCTTGTTTGGCGGCGTTCTTCGATTCGGTCAACTTGTCGCCGGCCTCGTCCAACGCTTGTTTCACGCCGAACATGCAGCTCTCCAACTGGTTCTTGGCCGCGATCTTGGCCTTTTGCCGTTCGTCTTCTTCTTATAACGTTCCGCCTCGCTGAGCATACGATCGATTTCGGCTTGAGACAGTCGACCCTTGTCGTTCTAGTAACGATGTTCTTGGAGCGGCCGGAGTTGTCCTTGGCCGTACGTTCAATATGCCGTTGGCGTCCATGTCGAAAGTCACCTGATCTGGGCACACCCTGGGCGCCGGGTATGCCGGTCAGTCGAACGTTCCCAACAGATTGTTTTGTGGTCATGGCTCTTCCTTGAACACCTGGATGGTGACGGCCGGTTGGTTGTCGCGTCGTGAACGTTTGCGTTTGTTTGCAGGATGGTGGGCGCTCGACGATTTTCGTCATCACCCGCCCGCGGTCTCGATGCCCAGCGACAGGGCGTGACGTCCACGAGCAGCACGTCTTGATCGCGGAGCTCGTCGCCGCTCAAGATGGCCGCCTGCACCGCTGCGCCGATGCCACGCTTCGTCCGGGTTGATGGACAGGTTGAGAGGTTTGCCGCAGAAAGTTTTGCAGCAGACTCTGGATCGATCTCGTCGAACCGCCCACCAGCACGATGTCTGGATGTCTCCTTGTCCACTTGGCGTCGGCCAAGCCTTTTCCACCGGTTGTAGGGTCGATCGTGGGTCCGCGCCAACTCTCGAAACGGCCCAGGAGACGCGTGTAGAAATCTACGCCTTCCATCAGGCGTCGATCTCGATGGTCGCCTCCGAGCTGGACGACAACGTTCTCTTGCCCGCTCGGCGGCCGTCCGGCACCGTCTCAGCGCCTCGGTGCTACACGTCTTTTGAACTTCTCTGAACTCTTCGGCCAGATGCTCCAGACGGTTGTCGGTCTTCGCCGCAGTGCGTCCAGCCGTCGATTTCACTTCGAATATCGAACCCTCATCGTCAGAACTGACACGTCGAACGTACCGCCGCCCAGATCGAATATCAACACGTTCCTCGCCTTCAGGTTCTTGTCCAGGCCGTACGCCAGGCCGCGCCATGTCGTTCGTTGATTATCCGCATCACGCTCAGCCCGAGCTATCGCGCCCGCGACCTTCGTCGCCTGTCTCTGCGAATCGTTGAAGCGCCGGCACCGTGATCACCGCGTCCCGTCACGCTACGGCTCCAGTACGACTTCCGCGCTTTATACATTAGTACAGTCAGCACCATCGAACTTATTTCTTCCGGCGCGAACACTTTCCGCTCGCCTTTGAATTCAACCTGGACCTTTGAACTTTCCGCAGTCGTTCACCACTTTGAACGGCACTTGTTTCATGTCCGCTGTGTCTTCTCCGTCAAACCGACGTCCGATCAACGTTTGGCGTCGACACGGTGTTCACCAGGTTCATCGCCACCTGGTTCTTGCTCCGTCTCGATCAACCGTTCCGTGTCCGTGAACGCCAATAACTCGGCGTGGTCCTGTTTCTGATCGTTGGCGATTACCCTACTTCTTCGTGTTGCAGACGCCCACGCAGAGTAGCAGTGGTGCCTAGGTCGATACCGATCCGTATGATCGTATTCTGCATTTCGTATGCGCATCTCGTCTCACCGCACACATCATGCATTTATAGATCTTATGCGAAACGAACGTATAATGGTAGCAATGATTCGGTGACGTGTTAAAGTCGACTTTGATTCTGAAAAGCCTGCACTGAATTATTGTTAGATAGCACAGAGTAAGCACAAGTGTCTCTCGTCGTGTGTCGCACTAGTATCGCTTCAATGCAAAACTGAAGCCGGGCGGCGCGCCGTTACCGTTATAGCCGACGGAACGTTCTAGAAGGTTCGATACGTTCCGCGAGCGCTGTCGTTACCGCCGCCTCCTCGTTCCTCACCCGCTTCTACATTGTTTATGCGCCCACCGTTAATAACGCCTTATACGACTCGAATTTTCTCCCTCTTTCTCATTGTTCTAGTGTACTTATTTTATTTTATATCTTTACTTTTATTTTCTTGTAAAGATTTGATGTTTTATTATAGCATTGATTATAGATCGACTTTCTATAATCAATAGTTGTTAAATGATATTTCAATTATATTTTACTATGAGATTATGAGTAGGGTGATTTTAATATTTTCTACTTTTATGTGTTATTTTCGTGATTCAATAATCTCTATTCCTTTTATAATATTTCTCCTAGAATATATTTATTTTTATATTTTGTTGTATTTCCACGAAAATTATCCTAATTAGTACTGGATTAGATATAACTAGCTTTTTGTTTATTTTTGCTTTCTCGTATTGGTTTATAATCACTCAATGATTCTTTCTCAATGATTAGACATTCAAATTTTAATTTTCTTTCTAATTATGGCGATAAATGTATATTTTGAAAGTTTAAAAATAAATATACCTAAGTTAATAGTTTATTTTACGTATCCAATTGAAATACTACTAAGTATTTATTGTAAACTTTCTTGTAATTATTTCTCTCCTAGAATATATTGTTTTATATTGTATTTTGATAACAATTTACGAATAAATCAGTAGGTATTGAACATTTTACAGAAAATATGTACGATTTCTTACTCATTAATTTTCTAAAAATATCAATTCTATTTAGTCATTTATGAGACGTTTCTAATTTCAAATTTTCTTATTCTGACACTATCAAAAATATATTGTTGAATGTGCATTTCTAGATAATTTAAAAATAAAACAAATGTTATTCTTGTATCATATTTTAATACTAAAAGTAGATTTGCAATGTAATATTTAAATAGATCAAGGTGACTTAAAATATTTTGACATTCTTCATATCTAGTATTTTAAGCTTAAAAATCATTGGACTACAAAAACATAAATCTTTGCATAGTTTATGTGAATAGTAAAGACCTTCTATTTATTTTTCATTGAATAGCTTTTAAATAAATAAGAAATACATGTTACAAAGTCCTCAAAGGTCAAAAATTAATGTCTAGTAACAGCTAAGAATCAATTAAATTAAAGTACATACAGAAATAGTACTTTTAAAAATTTTAATTTTAAAATTAATTTAATCAAATTTAAGTAAATAAAAAAATTGTTGACCTTTTTAACAGAGGGTACATAATTTTAAAATTATAAAATTAAAAAAATATATACAACTTGTTAAATACCTATATAAAAAAAACTCAAATAATAGGTACTTAATAACAAAACTTAATGCTTAAATATCATTAAAATTGGAAATTACCTCTTTTTGTTTTTTAACTACCATTTTTTTATGCTTTTTTGGGTGTTATTAATAATTCTCATTGTTTTTCTGTAAAATAAAACTTAATTTATAAAATTGGAAAAAAATATTTTTAGGGTTTTAATTGCAATAATATTCTTAGGAAGTGTTTTTTAATGCATAAAAAATATACTAAACTTTAAACCCGTCACTCGACTTCATTCACTAACATCGGAATTACTTTTGAAAGCATTGAAAAAATTGCTGTTATCATGAGAAATGTTTTGTAGATAATTTTTTTGGCGGTAATGATGAGACTAATCACTTGGTTTGAGATAACAATTATTATCACAAAAATTATAAATTTATTTTTAATGAAGGTAGAATTAAATAATTATACTAAATATCTATGCTTATAACATGATATGTTTAAACAAAAACAAAATTGTTTCATTTTACTTCATAGTTCCAATTCAAGTCCCCTTGATCATCAGCACTTGATGTTTTTATTTTTTATTACATTTTTCAAAACCACAATAATTTCCAAACTTCTAGTAATTTTTTAGTAAACAATTTTTAATATACTTAATTTTTTAAATTAAGGTTTAAAAATGTAATGAAACGCTCCTCTTAAATAATTCAATACATATATAACCACATTTTTTTTTTTGTTATAAATATTTGAAATTCTAATTAAAATTTCATATTTTTATGATAAATAGCAATGATTAATGATTTTCCTTTATTTTAAAATTATTATTGGATGGACTTAGATCTTGAACTTTTGTTATTAAATTAACCCAATTATGCAATAAGACATAAGAAAATGATAAAAAAACCTTAAAACCTATAAGTTTAATTTTATGATGTCTCTACTTTTTAATTATACAAATTTATGAATACAGATTTAATCTTTCTCATGATGTACAATATCATGTAATTATTAATAAATGATAGTTAAAATATATACATAGCTAACTAACACAGTCAACATTGTATTTTCCATAAAAAATTTACCTAGCCAAAACAAAAACCAATATTGTAACAATAACCAAACTAATTACCTTTGTGTTACTTTAGTTGTTTTCAAAGATACAGAGTATCTATTAACCAACTCATAATGATTTGTATATTATTTAACATTAATTGACAATTTTAATTATTCCGTTATATTTTTTCTGGACTTATTACAGTTTTACGTATATTAAGCAATGGTTTTCTCAAAATAGGTACCTATAAGTTTGATTTTGATATTATTAACTATTGAGTTAATAACAATAATTTATTAAATCCAATATCTTAGGTAAATATCAATTAAACCTACCCTAATATGAAATGATTAGATATAGGTAGATGTTTAATACAATAATATAGTTCATTATTAAATGTATATTTCTGATAATAAAATAAATATTTACAAATACATTTTTATAGCTTTTGATCGATACAATATAGATAATACTGTTTAAATTAATTACAATATAATAGATCTAAAAATTATTTTCAGTATACTATAAATTATACAATAACTAAATTCCATTTGTTATATGAATTATCATTATTGCAAATGTTCATCACAACTTCAGCATTTATTCTCTTCTCATTTACACTAAGACATGTTCCAGCTGCTAAATTATAAAATGCAGTTCCCTTCTATAAAAAATAAAAATAAAATAATACTTTTAAAAACATCAGTTTATAAAACTTATAGTATTAAATATTACGAATAAGAAAAAATCAGAAATATAATAGTCTAACAATGTTGTTTTACTTAGATAAATTATCAGAAGTTTTTAAAGTTGAGAACATTTTAGATACCGTTTATTGAATTTGTTTTTTTTTTTTAATAAATAATTATTACGGTTTTTTGTTATAGATTTCACACATTTATCATTTTTTGCATAACTACTAAATTATTATAAAATATTAGTAAATAGTTAAAAAAAAATTAGCAGTTAGTTAGTTTTAATAGAATTTGAAATATACTATGTTTTAGTTTTTAATAAAATATAAATAACTCTTAAATAAATGTATTTTAAATCTATAAAATTATTTATTTTTTTTATTCAGAATAATAATTATAATATAGTATATACTGGTTAAAATTATAAAAATTTAATGTATAGTGATCAATAATAATTTGGATTAATTAAATTAATTGTTTGATAAAACAACTTTTGTATATACTATTTACTAAGGTTATAAATTGTTTGTATACTTTGTCTTATAAAAGAACGATACCATTTTGTGCTTGTAGGCTAAGCAATAAAAAAAAATGTTACTAACAAACAATAACATGTTACTCTATAGTCTATGGTTTGACCATTACAATTGTATCACATTAATTTTCACGTTACAACCACTATGGAAAGTACAAGCTGAGCATGATACTAGCTATTTTTTATCAACATTTAAGACATGGTAACTTTCTCTTGTAAGACAGAATATAAGTTTAATGGATTTTGTTTTTAAATGTTGGTAAATTATAAATATACATCATCTGTGTGTTTCCAACGTTGAGAACTTCCAGTTTCACTGCATTTTCCTATAACTGGACTGCCTGAAGCACTATCCAAACATAAAAGTTTAGATAAAACTAATTCTTCTTTATCTGTTTCATACCATATCTAAAATGATATCGCAAATTTAAAAAAAATTATTAATTTTATGTAATTATAAATAAATTACCAACCTGTTCTTTATTACGAATACAAGATCTTAGAACAAGTCTACTATTTTTGGTTTGGTGTCCTTTTGCTGGATGAATGCACAAATTCGTATTGCTCAAGTTAATCTAAGTATAACAGAACAATTATTATACACTTAATTCATATAAATAAATATAAAAATATTTACTTAAAAATTTTGCAGTGTAGTTACGAATTCGTTTATTCCATGGTTGAAAAACAGGTTTTTCAACATTTTCTAACTTTTTGTTAAGGCGATCAGCTTCATCAGTTGGCAATAACATTTCAGGATACACATTTTCTAAATACCATTCAAAACTATTGCATCCTAGTTTGGTGCGTAAAGCTTTTCTTTCAGACACATCACCGTAGTCCAAGCGCAGCAGATCCATTCGTTTACTAATGAAAAATTTCTGTGAAACAGTATTTATTAATTCATTGAGAGAAAAGTATAATAAATGTGATTGTGGTTCACTGTGTGTTCAACAAAATATAAAAACGATCTTATAAATTGTGATTATAATCAAGTAACTTATTAATGTGACTATAACTGTAACAATATAATAAGTGATCTACAATAATTATGGTTTGGTTTAGTAACTGTAAATTGTATCTAATAAATTTACTGATACTTATTTTATTAATGAGTAGTTAATATTATAATAATTATCACAATTTTAAATTAATATGTTCACTCATACAAACATAGTTAAACTTAGTGTAGCTAGCATGTTAGAATATCAGTGTTGTGTTATATTGTAAAATTACTACTAAATAAAAATCAAAAAGATTAAAAATGGAATCAAGTATAATAGTAAAATTCTATAAACAAAAAGAAATTCCAATAAATCATATTTTAAAAATAGAGGAATTTTAAAATGTAATAAATGAGGATACCAAATATTTGTTTTCATTAGAAAGAGCAATAATTTTATCACTTTTACAGATCTAAATGGTAATTGTAACAGATATGGTGCATAATTAAAACAGACAAATTCTTTTTCTAAAATAAAATAAAGCACTGCCAGGTTAAATGCAACACTGTGAGATACTACTAATTGAATGCCCAATAACCTCAGTTTTAAATTCAGTTAGTGACAAAGAAAATAATAATATACATTAACATGTTTGCTATAGGATGACACCTTGAGGTGTCATTTTTACATTAATTTTCAACTATTTTCAATTTGGCCAGCATTGTGTTTTAATCTTTTTATGTGTCAGCGTTGTTCAGTGTATATTACTGTATATGAGTGTGCAATCTATACCTCAAATTTTCTATTTTCCTAATGGGCGTCATAAAAAAAAAAAAAAAACCATAAATTTGATCAGCATTAGGGTATGTGTATACAAAATTGAGCCGCAGCAAACGTGTTAAAGTACAAGAACTGTAGGTATTTGGTTTGAGTTAGCGACTTCAAAATAACTTAGACCACAGATTTTTAATCATTGATAAACATAACAAAGATACACTACTTTAAAGCACAGATTGAGTCATAATTCACAATTGATATTATTAACTAGAAAGTGGACAATTATTTGAAAAATCATAAATTTACAGTGTTTACACATAAAACTGTAAATCAAAAACATTTCTTTTAGTTTTGCAGAAAAACACACAAACTGTCATTAATTCTCATAAATTACAAAAAACAATTGTGGCATCTAACTAATTACCTAGACAACTTCTAGAAGAATGTAAACTTCTATTCATCCTAATGAAAAAATTATACTAAAAGATTTTCTTCAAAACTAGAACAAAAACTTTCAATACAAAAAAACCATACTATTTATTACAAGTTTTAAAGTGGAATAAATATAATTAGTAGATCATTATATATTTTTTAAGTAATATATTACATCATTATAAATTGTTCAACTTAAGAAACATTTTCTGCGACAATCAGTTTTCATTGGATGAGGGTCAGATAGTACTTGCTTGTCTCTCCACTGAGTCAACCATGTACAGTGAATTACACCTTTACATACAACTCCTCAGCTGTCATTTGTGTTTCTTAAGTTGAACAGAGTATACTGAGAATTAATGATTTACTTTATAATTATCCATCCAGACATTTGCAAGACGCAAAGAATTTCTAGCCATCGTGTCTTCGTGATTTGGAGCTGAGTATGGTCGATGTTGCCGGAATACATGTCCAACACGTGAACATGGTTCGATATAAAGAGAACCCCCACACATCCATGCCTAAAAATAAATGAAAATATATAAATATTTAGTGATTCTAAATAATTAAAATGATATAAAATAGGTTAATTTAAATGTCTAAGATAAATAACTTACTCATGCATTATAAATCATTTAGAATAGACATGGTATCATTTATTTCTTACTCGAAATGATAACTCCAAGTTTTCTCCGCCCCAAATATTCATTCCGGAATCATATTGACCAATTTCATTAAAGTACTCTCTATCCACAGCAAATAAACCTCCAGCAATTGTTGGTGTCCTATAATTAAAATAAATATAAATAATGCTAGAATATTAATTGTATATTATACAGTAAATAATATATTACTTGATTGGTTTTATAAAATCTTTTTCTGTGACTAGAGTACCTTTTGGTAAACTATCCCATTTAAAATTTAATCCCCAATTAAAACCACCTCTGACTAATGGTGATGATTTATAATCAAATGTATCTGGTTGAATAATATCAATAATGGGAGCAATAATTTGTGTCCGATTATCACGAACTCTTGTCAAAAGTGGTTCAATCCAATCAATATTTACTTCAACATGACTGTCGAGAAATATTAAAACCTGTTTAAATAAAACAAATCAATTGAGTTTTAAAAATTATTCAAGCAAAAAAAAAAAAAATTAAAATATCAGTTAGTTTGTGATAATTTATAAAAATACACAAAATGTAGTTTATAAGTTTATTACTATTTTACAAGGAAGTCTTCTTTTATATTTAAGCCATTGATCAAATTAATTTTACATGAATGAGTATGGATGGTCCAAAAAATAATGTAATAGGTATAGAAATAATACCCACAATACTATCTGCTAATTAAAGTTTATATAATATATCTGTCTGACTTTAAACTTATTGTGTAATTGTTAAATATTTTCTTTTTTGGAAAATTTCTCTTATTTGAATTATTTCATATATCATTATTTAACAAATATCCTAAGCTAATAAATATTTAAGTTTTTTAATATTTATAATTTTTGTACATAGGGTAATTTTTTTTTATTTTGAGATAAATCATTTATAAAAAAAAATGCATAATAAGAAAATTTGATAAGTAAATTATATAGCATGAAAAGTTGATAGGAGAAGCCACTCATTGGTGACACTTATAATTTGGTTGTTTTTAAGTCCAATGATTATTTGGGAGAAAAATTAAAGGAAGGCAAGACAACATATTTGTTACATTAGGTAATTGAAAAAAAAATTATAAACAAATAATTTTATCCTTTAATTACTTGACCAGTTGCTAAATTAGCTCCAAATAATCTTGCACGAATAAGTCCTTCTCTTTTATCGGTTTTTTTAAGATGGACTATACCCTGTAATAATTCATCATGTATGTATTGGTCTACTATTTTGTGAAGATTTTCTATAGAGTAAAAGAGGAAATAATAATTATACAAAATAATGACATTAAAAATTACTTTTAGATTTTACTAACCTGAATCACTAAAATCATTAATTAATATAACTTCATGCAAGAATTTCTTTGGTGTTCGTCTAATTACTGACTGTATAGTTCTGAAAAGTGCTTGTGGATGTTCATTATAAAAACAAATTATAATACTAGCAACAGGCAAGTTTTGATCATATTTTATAGTTGAACATCTGCCATAAATAAAATAAATACTATATTCTTATGAACAAATTGTTTTTTTTTTATAGTTAATCAAAATAAATTTTAACTTACAATTTATGTCTAGTGTCAGGCAACGTCTCACGATAATTACCCAATCTCAAACTAACCAAAGCATTGAAACCATGATCTTTGTATCCTTTATCCCTGATAGCCAAATCATCATCCGTTTTAATGATACCTAAATCATTAAGGTCTACACAAAAGTCAATAAAAAATTAGATAAATAATTTAAAATAAGACAAATATTAAATAAGTATTATGTGTATGTACTAACCATTTTTTCTATCTATATGATTCTTAAAGTATTTAGATTTCTGACTTTTAACATATTCATAAGTATTCTCTTTTCGAAACAGTTTTACATTTGAATAATTATCAGGCCTAGTATTAAGTTTCCAATACATATACAAACTTAGAGACCAAGTAAGAGATGTAAACAAACAGCCAAATAAAAAAAATTTATACCCGTTCATTTCTAATAAATTTTTGGGAAAATAATTCATTACTTGTACACAATTACATTAATTAGGTTAGAGAGTGTAGTCTACCTAACACTATTCAATAATTATTATAAATAAGAACTTCAACTAGAACAAAGAATAAAGAGATTACAGAACATATTATGATTTATGATGAAAAAAAGGTGATGAGTGAAAAGTGTTGATTGAAATGCAAATGCCAAATATGCAACTATTTTTGTTGGATAGACAATCTAAAATTTAAGCAATAAACAATAAATTTCATTATACTAATTTATACAAGTATGAAGTATTACCGTTAGGCGTTAATCATTTTTAAATAGATAACAACAAGTAATGATAATAAAAACGTTCTATACTTCACCGAATACTTTTAAATGGTAATTACCAATTTTACTTAACTAACTACACTATTAATAAATAAAAGGTTTTCAACTTTTCAAATAAAAAATTCTGTATTATTATACGACGATACGATCAATTAATACGTAACACACTTCTTAATTTTTATATTGTATTAATGCGAACTCCATTAGTAGTTACGTTGTGGACAGTGCTAATAATACAAAATATAATAATTAGAGTTAGGATTTAGATGACTTACATTTTTTTATCTTTAAGTGCTATAAATACAGTTCTAACCAAATTAAATTCGTTTCGTTACCTTTATATGTATAATACTTTAGAATGAGTATTTTTATTTTGCATTTTTTGTATGGAATGCATTATATTGCATTTTTAAGGTCATTTTTATAAAATGTTACGTTAATTTTGTGTAATTAAACTAATTTTTGTTTATTTTAAGTTTTTTTTAATATGTATTGTACCTATACGTAATTCCAATTAGGTACCTACTCCAGAGTCTAGTCCATTGATATATTAAGAAAGTAATTTACTTAATTTTCAACTCGAATTTGAATATATTATTTGTTTAATTTACTTTTTAAAACAAATTTTTACGTATTTTCAATATTTTGTATCATATAAAAAATGAATAAATAATAATAATTATTTGAAAATTAAATTTTTTTCGTTCATCTAAATAGGTACGTTTTTTAGAGTTTTTAGGTAATTTTTGTATATTTTTTCTAATGCATTCTTGTGTATTTTCAGGTCATTAAAATCCTAGCTTAAATAATAATAATAACATATTAAATATAGGTATAATATATATTTTATTTTTTTATTTCCCAGTGCACTGGGACGATTAGTCTACTGACTCGGAAAATTCGTAGACTATTCAAAGTAGGTTTTTATAAAATAATTCTAAATTAATGCTAAAAAACAAAATTTATTATATTGACAACATCCCACTTACCACTGTGATTATAGGTACTACCTACTGAAAATGATTTCACTTTGAATCTACATCATAAAAATATTTTTTGATGAAGTTTGAAAAACATAAATATAATTTTAAAGCTTTTTGCTTCTATTTTACAGCATTTTTTTCTATACTTATATTATAAAATGTTTAATACATATTGTATATTTGTATACTATTAATAATTTACTCTATTATTTTAGTTTAAAAGATTAAATTTAATTCATAATGTATTAGTACTTACGAGTTACAAGTATTAATGTGTGCCGAATTTTAATAGTAAGTATACAAGGCAACACCATTGTCTTTTTAACCTCTTTTGAGGATTGCCTGAAATGTTATGGATGAAAGTTAATTTATGAGAGGTGGCCAGGACTGGGAGGATACTAGCCTTCTAAATAAGCAGGCGGCCCATAGGCCCATAGATACAATATAAAAAAGACCATTTTTTTTGCTCATTAATTGTTTAAAAAAACTCAAGTATTTTATTACAAAATTAAGGCATGTGGCTCACTTTGCTGTAGAACAGTGGCACAATGACCCTGTATGGGCCTGAATTGAGAGGGTTTTCAAGGTATTGGGTTTATCGGCTATTGAAACGTTTATAATATAGTTTGACTAGTTCAGTGACAATTGGTACTTTAAAGTCAAAATGGAAGGATTTATAAGAAATATAGAATAGAGCTTTTGAAACGATATAAAGAATTTTTGTTGGAATCTTTGAAAAGGGTTAATGTTAATTGTTAAGCTACTTTTGCTACACCCCAGAGCTGGATACAGTATGTTAAAATAGGTCTAACTTTAAACCTAAATACAATTTTCTACATATAAGATATATTGACATAACATTGGGTATAGATAGATACCTATATAAAAAAAAAATAGACATCTAAACAAATAATTTAACCATCCAGTTAAAATAACGAGAAAAATTATCGTAAAACGCATCCTATTCCTATCATTGAAACCAGCATACCTAATATCCAATTTGGATTTCGTCATAACCACTCTACAATACACCAAGTCCATCGTCTAGTGGATAAAATATCGTACACTCTTGAAAAAATGCTTATTTGCACAGCAGCCTTCCTTGACGTATCATAGACATTCGACAGAGTATGGCATGAAGGCTTACTCTTCAAATTCAAATCTATTTTTCCGCCATACTATTTTCTATTATTTAAATCCTATTTAGAAAACAGAAATTTTGACGTTCGATCTGGCTTCTCCTTATCCGAAGTATTACCAATCCACGCAGGGGTACCTCAAGGAAATGTTTTATAAAAAAATAAAACCATTGTCTTTGATTTATTATATATTATATATATTTTTTTTAATTTTATAATTTTAAAATTATGTACCCTCTGTTAAAAAAGGTCAACAATTTTCTTTTTTTATATTTACTTAAAATTTGATTAAATTAATTTTTAAAATTAAAATTTTGTTAAAAGTTATCTATTTCGTGCATGCGTTTAATTTTACATTGAATTTTCCTAGCTGTTACCAGACACATTAATTTTTGACTCTTTGAGTGACTTGTAACATGTATTTCTTATTTATTTAAAAAGCTGGTTTGGGTCGAAAAATAAATAGAAGGTCTTATACTATTCACGAAACTTATGCAAATATTTATGTATTTTTTGTAGTCCAATGCGATTTTTTTTAAGCTTAAAATACTAGATATGAAGAATGTCAAAATCATTTCAAGTCACCTTGATCTACGGTACATTAAAAAAATCTGTACTTTTAGTATTAAAATATGTATACAAGAATAACTTATTTGTTTTATTTTTAAATTATCTAGAAATGACATTCAACAAATATATTTTTATAGTCGTCAGAATAAGAAAAATTTGAAATTAGAAACGTCTAATAAATGGTTCAAATAGAATTGATATTTTTAGAAAATTATACGAGTAAGAAATGCGTACATAATTTTCTGTAAAAATGTATTCCAATACCTACTGATTTACGGTAAATTGTTATCAAAATACAATATAAAACAATATATTCTAGGAGAAATAATTACATAAAAAAAGTTCTAAACAAATACTTTTAGTAGGTATTTCAATACAGATGTAAAAATAGCTTATTAACTTAGGTATATTTGTTTTTTTTTAAACTTTCAAAAATATAATTTTATCGTCATAATAGAAAGAAAAATTAAAAATTTGAAATGTCTAACGGCTGAGAAAGAATCATTGAGTGATTATTAAAACCATACGAGTAGAAAAAGCAAAAATAAACAAAAAAGTCTGTTGAGAATTCAATCCAGTACTAATTAGGATAATTTTTCGTGGAAATACAACAAAATATAAAAAATAAATATATTCTAGGAGAAATAATTATAAAAGGAATGAGATTATCTGATATCACGAAAAAAAATAACACATAAAAAGTAGAAAAATATTAAAATCACCCGACTCATAATCTCATAGTAAAATATAATTAAATATCATCTACCTACAACTATTGATTATAGAAAAGTCGATTCTATAATCAATGCTATAATAAAAAACATCGTAAATCTTTACAAGTGAAAATAAAAAAAGTAAAGATATAACAATAAAAAATAAGGACTCGGTGAAACAACGAGAAAGAGGAAGAAAATTCGAGTACGTTCTATAACGGTGGGCGTTATTAAAACAACGTAGAAGCGGGTGGAGGTGAACGAGGGAGGCGGCGTGGAGGTAACGACAGCGCTCGCGAAACGTATCGAACCTTCTAGAACGTTCCGTCGGCTATATAAACGGTAACGGCGCGCCGCCCGGCTTCAGTTTGAATTTCGAAGCGATACTAGTGCGACACATCGAACGAGAGACACTGTTTCGTGCTACTCTGTGCTATTCACTGTAATTCAAGTGCGACTTTATTGCGAATCAAAGCGACTTTTAAATCGTCACCGAATCGTGTGCCATCACATTATACGTTTTTCGTATAAGATCTATTCGTATTGATTGTGCGTGAACGAGACCTACGAGTTATTGGCGAAATACAAAATGGTCGGAAAGACTGCGATCGGTATCGACCTGGGCACCACCTACTCTTGCGTGGGCGTCTGGCAACACGGAAAAGTAGAGGTAATCGCCAACGATCAAGGAAACAGGACCACGCCGAGTTATGTGGCGTTCACGGACACGGAACGGTTGATCGGGGACGGAGCCAAGAACCAGGTGGCGATGAACCCGGTGAACACTGTGTTCGACGCCAAACGTTTGATCGGACGTCGGTTTGACGACGAGAAGACACAAGCGGACATGAAACAATGGCCGTTCAAAGTGGTGAACGACTGCGGAAAGCCCAAAATCCAGGTTGAATTCAAAGGCGAGCGGAAAGTGTTCGCGCCGGAAGAAATAAGTTCGATGGTGCTGACGAAAATGAAAGAGACCGCGGAAGCGTACCTGGGCCGTAGCGTGACGGACGCGGTGATCACGGTGCCGGCGTACTTCAACGATTCGCAGAGACAGGCGACGAAGGACGCGGGCGCGATAGCCGGGCTGAACGTGATGCGGATAATCAACGAACCGACAGCCGCGGCCCTGGCGTACGGCCTGGACAAGAACCTGAAAGGCGAGAGGAACGTGTTGATATTCGATCTGGGCGGCGGTACGTTCGACGTGTCGGTTCTGCAGATCGACGAGGGTTCGATATTCGAAGTGAAATCGACGGCTGGCGACACGCACTTGGGCGGCGAAGACTTCGACAACCGTCTGGTGAGTCATCTGGCCGAAGAGTTCAAGAGGAAGTTCAAAAAAGACGTGCGTAGCAATCCGAGGGCGCTGAGACGGCTGCGGACGGCCGCCGAGCGGGCAAAGAGAACGTTGTCGTCCAGCTCGGAGGCGACCATCGAGATCGACGCCCTGATGGAAGGCGTAGATTTCTACACGCGTGTCTCCCGGGCCCGT